CCGGGTGTGTAGACCCTATGTGAGTAGGATAAGGTAGCGGCGATGATTTTTCCTAGCTTTGTTTCGAGCGATTAAGGAAAATAATAGCCTTCTAGGCTTGGTCAAAATAGTACTGATTAAAACCACGGCCGAATATTTTAGCAACAAAGCCCGAAAATTATGAGGAAAATGGTCACTTTATGGTCATTTATTCCTTTGTTATGATAACTAAAATCGAAACAAAAGAGCCATTCCCGACTACACCATAGATTGTTTTTTATTTTTATTTCGCTTTTTGGCTATTCGTCCAGTCTGTTTTTAATTTCTATCCAGCCTACCTAGGTTGTTCATCTTTAAGTATGCACTCTGTTTGCTATTGTTTATGCTGACAACGTTTACCCTTTCCTGGCTATCCCCATCATGATTCCCGGTTTCCTCTGGCATACCATTTGCAAACAATAATGTCTACGATTTGCATTTAGTTAATAATACAATGTAGAAAATACAAATTATTGCTTTAGGATCCATTATTTATGTTTTTTAGTCCGTATATTTCATACATACGCATATAGGCGAAGAAATTCAAAGATCTTTGCGAAGGCCTAGTCGCCCTAACTTGGATAGGCTCCGAGGCCCTCAGTGGGGACGTATAGTGAGCTGGTGATGATGATATTTCATAAAATAAGAAAGTAAAACAAAACAAAAAATCAAGTAAGTCAGCTACGAAAATTTGCACTACGTTTACACTGACCGGCAAGGTCGAGGCTAACGGGTTGGCAACACTGGTGCCTATGCAAGTTCATTGATCACATATGCTTACGAATGGTATTATATTATCTATGGTGTCATTTTTTTTACACACATTTTTTCTATAATGCATACAGTTATTAATGTTTTATTGTATTTTATCTATATTAGTAGAAAGTTTTTTTTTAATTATAACGTAAAGAATTACTACTGGGGAGTTGGGTCATCTTTTTCATTATCAATTTCTTCGTTCCATTATTTCTTCCTCAACTTATCATCACAGTGGAGCAGTTAGTCGCCTGGAAGGCTGTCGGGAAACCTTAAATGGCGTAGGTGAGCCGCGCATGCGTCGACTCGCGGAGATCGCCATTTTAGGCTGCAGAGCGAACCACGAGGTTGCTGCCATATCCGTAGTTATAGGCAACTCTGCGGCGAAGTATCGATCTGTTAAGAGGTTTTATATACAGTAATTGGTATGACAGAGATCGGATCCATTTCACGTAATCATTTTTCATATTTAATCTAATACTTTTAAAACAAATTGATTGTAAGATATATCATTTATTTTCATATAAATTTTGTTTTTATTCCTTAATGTTACTTTGAGTGAAAGTCTTTCAACGAGCAATTAAAACAGGAAATGTCGCCGAAAACAGGTGCACGAGTTTCGAAGGGCGTAGTATCGCATCTGGCGGAAGGAAGCCGCTCGCAAGTCACAACCAAGTCAAGGCGAGCTCCTGACTACAATAACACTGTCCTTATAAGTGCAAATAAATTATATTAACCGCAACACCTTGAGCAAAAGGTTGCTTGTGAATTTTTTAAATTAGGAATTGCGCAGTAGAGAAGAATTAAAAGTAAAACTTTACAGCTTCGTTAGTTAGCCTCTTTAATTTTTGGTCTTAAATATGGTACTGGGATGCATAGTTATGCCAAATAAGGTCTTTCTTAAATTATATGTCGGTACACGATCATGTGCCTACCAAATTTCAGTAAAATAACGAAGCGACTGTTGCCCTATACGCGCATTTTTTCTTCTTTTAAAGAAGATATTTTATAATATCAACAAAATCAACAAAAGATCTTGAATAATTGCATATTTGATTAATAGTTCAAATCTCAGAATTTATTTGTAATGTTTGTACACGGATTGCGAACGTTGGCCATTTGGCGAAAAAAAAACATGGCCGCCGGAGTCTTTGGCCTCGGAAGCGTTCATGTCCGTTGCAATTTAAATTCAAAGCACAACGGATCGGATTTGGTTAACGGATGTTCCACCGTATAGAGCGCTGCTATCGCCTATTAAATGCATATACGGAGTGGAATTCTACGGAAACTGAAAAAAATATTAGTTTAGGCAACTTTTAAAACATAGTTTCTTTTATAGACCGGAATATACAGAAAAACAACTCAACATGTACGCAGTGTGCGTGACTTATCAATTTTTGAACATCAGTTAACTTACCAGTAATATTGAGGTCATGTAGTGCACATACGTTTAGAAATGGATCAAATATGTTTTCATAAATTAGGATAATATTTTAGACTACACATTATTATATCTCGATTCCTTTACAATAGGCAACTCGGTTAATTTATAGACTGCGGAGGTATTGATTGCATTTTTATCATAACTTTGCAAAATATAAACGTTTTATTACCCAAATGCTCATGTGTTAAACCATAGACAAAACTAAAAACGGAAAAACATTGCTCCTAATGTCTATTATTGTACTAGAAGCGATGACGTGATGTTCCTTAAAAACATGTCACGTTTTAAAATTCCGAAGACGCCGAGCCTCACTGCGCTGACCTTGAACGGAGTAGTGAAACCGTTTGTTTGAATTTCATACGTTACGCTTCAACGATATGACAAAGTTACATCATTCTGTTGCTAGCAGAGACCATATTTATAGCCCATACGTCAATATATTGCTTTAATTCATAACCAAACATTTATTATAACAATTTATGCAGTTTCTCTCGTATAAGCTAAAGTAAATAGCATACGTTATGATTGTGGATGATAAGAAAATTTTTAACACATCTCTGCCTATTTAATAATTGATATGTAAAAAATAGTAATAAAGTATACAAAATTAACAGTCAAGATGACGTAATATGTTAAGGTTATCTTTTATCAGAAAAATAAATGTTCAAATATATTTTGTAAGCCGTTTATGATGGCTACGTAAGAAAATTTATGTATGGTAATACCTTTTTGGAAAGAAATTTCTAGAATTTAAGAAGTACATTTTATACAGATATACGTTGATAGTAGTGACACGATATCAAGCTAAAAAGGGATTATAAGTTTAGAGATAAGTTCTTCATACAATATATTGAACATCTGAACAAGGCACTGGACGAGATGAAGACTGATTGTAATAAATCCCTTACCACGTGTCAAAAACGGAAACGGAACTAAAACTCCAGTTCAGAAAGCATTTAATTATGTATCTTACATCCTGCTCGTCGTTATTAAATAAATGCGTAGCGACTGGTTATGCTGTTATTTAACCTATTTCCCTAGTGAACGAATTTAAAATGATTAGTAGTTCATAGTTATTACGACAAATTAAGTGTATTGAAGACCTCACGATATAACCGCACGCGATCCGCACGTTTTAATCATTTTTTATTAACTAGTCAATGAACAAACTATCAAGCGTATTTTACTAATTATTAAGTTTTTAATGACGGAATAATTAATTAGGATGAAATTAGGTAATTTTAAAGTTAAACCAATACAAACTAAATGTTTGATTTATTTATTTATATATACACAACAGCTAATTTCATCACACAATTACATAGGAAAATAAAAGACGACCGTTAAATTAGCCAACAGCTGCATAATTATATTCATTTCAATGATTGCAATAAATAATAAATAATATGCTGTTAGGATTCCATTGACAAGATACAAATTAAAGCGTGTTATCTCTTTCTTTTCTGACAGTATAAGAGAGATAACAATATTTTCTTTACAAGTGTCTCGACTATGGAAACCACTTTATTATATACAATAACGGCAAACGAGCAAGTGACCACCTACGCCAAAATGGCGAAGCTACCGCTGCCCATAGATATCCGCAATTGCAGACGCGTTGCCTACCCTTAATTGACGGAGTGCAGACGCACATAAAGAGGATATTTCCCCTTCCTATGCGTCTCCTCCACCGTCAAATCTACTTTCCCAACCAATCCTTTTCTTATAAAAAGAGGGTGGAACGGGAAAGGGACTAAAAAACCACTTATTTCAGCTTACTCTAACTTTACGGTACCTCTGCAGTGTCATGCAACACTGCAACAATATAACAAAATGTAGCATTGTATGTGATTAACCGAGATCGCGCACAATTTCGCGGTTCTTATTAGCGGAGACAAGTCTACGTGAAAGTGACGAGAATGTATATGAATAGAGAAAGTAACCCCGCGACTGAGAACTGTGTCTTCTTGGGAACACTAACCAATCATTTTTTAGTGAAGATGTTAACTATGGCATTGATATTGCTTATTGATGAGAAATTAAGAAATACGAGAGGTTTTTCACAAATTCATTTACAAATTTGGGGAAGTGGTAGACTCGAAGTATGTAAGCTAAGACGCCCTAGACTTAATCTCATCATTTGTATTAAGAAATTGCTTACAAGTAAAAGCAGATTTTTAAAGAATTATGTATTGACTAGCTTTCGCACGCGACGTCGTCCGCGTGGAATTAAAATAAAATAACAGTAAGTAGCCTATGTGTTCTTCCAGACTATCTTTACATCTATGCCATATTTCATCGATTCAGCCGTTTATGCTACAGACTTTAACAGACATCCATTGAAGCTTTCGCATTTATAATAGTAAGATAAATTAAAACAGAAAAATTTGACATATTTACGACATGGATAATCAGAAACAATGATGTATTTATGGTAACAATATTACAATCTATGCCAATATAGAACGGATGAATAAAAAACATTGTATTGTCTATTGGTTTATTTCACTAGATATAGGTTACGCTATGTGATTTCCCACGCCCTTTTTTACAACTACAATAAGTTGAGGTGCGGTTAGAATGGATGCGGGCACGGTAAAAATCTTAACTTATATGGATCGAATTCCATTAGATTTTGTACGAATAAAGGATTATTAGAAAATCAATTTATCGACATATTTTATGGAACTGTAATTTATAAAAATATTGCTTTAGTTTCAGTGTTGAAATTCAAAAAGATTTTTGTTATTGGGCAAATTGCATATCCAAAAGATAGGTTAACTCAATAACAATAGAAATATTAGCTAATTACGTTTCCTAATACTATCATCTGTACTATTTGTTCCACAGTAAAAAAAATCGAGACTGCGAGTTAGTACAGCTAGTGCAGGAGTAGCGAACATTTATGCATCAAGTGTCATTTTTTTAAAGAAATGATTAATGCAATATGGACGTGCCACTAATCATTTTGACAGCGATTATTACAATTCCATGGTGCACCTACTTCAAAATTTTTTCGTACTGTTTTTATGATAATCGACGTGCACAAAAAATTATGTCTTGTGCTATTTCTGGCACGCATGCCAGTGGCTTGCCACCCCTGAGCTAGTTTGTCCGCAGGATAGATGTACTCACGGTCTGTCGACCACGAGGCTTGATAATTTCTGACCGCCATCTACTGAGACTGCTGTAACGGAATTATAATCCTCTTAAATTAGACGACTGTCTTATTAATTTAAGTTTTTAACAAGGAATTAGAAAGTGCAAACACCTGTGTCTGTTAATTTTATACGAATTCATATCTACAATATGGACACAGACGGGCAAGGTTCCAGTGATTCTAAAACGATAGAAAATTAGTCGATTTTAAAGGGTTCAATAAATTATCCTACATTTCAATTACTCAATTCTTAGATTTATTACTCAAACAGATTAAATAACAGCCATCTCTTATTGAAGATTTTACAAATTTCTATTTAAGTTTCTTTAAAATTACCATTTGATTATAACACAAGTGAGAGCGCTGTATATTTTCGCCGTTCAGTATCTTTCCATCCTAAGGGCAATATACCATCTGCCCACAGCAAACAGAACCTTATGGCTGTTCTCGTTTACCATAAAAAGACGACTGCATATCTCCTCGCGCACCATGTTTGGCCAGAAATCGATTCAATGCATTTCCAAGCGAAGCTGCCCTACAAGTAGATACGCATAACAAATAAGTCTATAAATGATTATAAGACGTATCCTTTTGGTAAATAGTTAAATCCTTTGAAGAAGTTATAAATAATAGCAACACTATTTAAAAATTGTCTATGCACTGAACAGATAAATAAATTACAGCCTCTACCAGAACACTACCAAGTGTTCTGTTACAATTTTCAAACTTTTGAACTTATGAATGAAAACGAAGTGATGAAACTCAAAATTACTAGAAATGCAAATGTTACATTTTTATTTCAATCTTCAACATGTCTTAAAGTTTAGAAAGTGTTATTAATTAAAACATTCTGTTATATTATTAGATGATCAAGTAGCCAAGTAACCTGAAAGCAGGGGTTTGCTTATTTTGTTTTGGTATTTGATCGATTACCAGTAAACAATTAGTAAGATCAGTAAACATGCATAAATGAAAAGAAATATGTGGTTGTTCATCAAAATTTATGTAAGGTCTAGAGGTCTCTAATAAACTAAAATAATAAGAATGAATAAATAAAACTAGGATTGGAATTCATGAAAGTTTTGCTGCTTGTTTTTTAACCTTTTTTATTACGAATCATACGATGAATGAATCAGCGCACTCTGTTGGCAAATTATTAAATTAATACGTAAAATTGCCATTTGAAAAAATAGTACTTCTGAGACTAAAGATTCTGATTTAAAAAAATGCAACCAACTTTTGTGGTGCAATTAATCCTATATAAAACCATGTTGTTTTTACAATAAATAATTATTTTTCAAACGCGTGAGAATTATTGGATGCCATATTTATTGCCTTTAAAAAGTATAGGGAGTATTTATGTCAAAAGCAAATGTCTATTCTGTCAAGTTGAACTGTCATTCTGTTCGACTTGCTGTTGTTCTTCAATAACTTTTTCTACAAAGCTTTAAATATTTTTACAACAGCAAAGAATTACGAGCAGATGACTTTTGGAAGAAATTCCACGTATAATTGGAATACTTGTTTTGATAGCAATGGAGATTATATATTTAATAATATGACAGAAAATAGGTACATCATGTCGACAACAAAGTTATCGTGTCTTTTTGTTTTTGTTATTATATTGACATCTATGGTTTCAGAAAAAGAACTCGTGAGGATGACACGTGCGAATTCATGCCACTATCGAAAAGGATAAATAACTTGCATATTAATAACAACCTCACTAGCCAACCTATCCTCCAATCGCCAAACTCTAGTCATAATGGGATAAGGACTGAGGAGAACGGGACATCTTCACAAGTTCCTAACCATAATTCTGTCAGTACACCAGCTTATGACCCTGGTGTTACTTCATCTCAAAGCAGATATTATTATGAAAATAAATTATTATTTGAACTGCATTTAGAAAGAATACAAAGATCAGGGCAACAGTTTCCTTTTTAAATACTTATAATAATGTGTGAATTAAGTTGTGTACCTGTATTATTAAACTACTAGTTTGTAATGTTATTTTAATATTAAAACATTGTTATCTTTGCATGTCTACATTATTTAATCTACATGAATAAACTGATTTACTTATGTCATTATCTGATGATGTACAAGTAAAAAAATTTCGCATATTGTAATAACAAACAATTGTTTTATTTATGTAACCTATGTTTACTTGAAACCTACTCTTTTTATCCCATTAATACATACCATTTAACTGTTGATTATCTTTGTTTACTAATTTGTTAACATTTACCAGGTCCAAAAACTAATTATCTTTCACAAATTAATTTAGACAAACAGATTCTTAATAAAACCAACATGTAAATAAAGAAATGTAATTAGCGCGCCATCTGGTGATAAGTTTTCAAGACGTCAAACAGTAATGGCGGATTTCATGTGTTGTGTAGACAGTGAGTTTGTTGTTTACGACTTATTATTTAGATAACTTCAATATATCATTGAATCAAGATTTAAAACGTTATTTTTTATGTGTGAAAAAGCCAACTATATTAGAGGTACGTGTTATAATTATGTTATATTTGTTGTATATAAAATCCGTGACCTTATTTCGGTAGCGGTACTTTGTTGTACCGTTAGAGGGGCGCGTGGCCGTCCCTGAGCGCCGTGGCGAGAGTGCCGCCGTCGAGCGCGAGGACCGCGCAACCCCTCCTCTCGCGTTTTCCCTGTCGGTGGAGGAAGGAGTCGGGAGCGGGAGTGATTTGGTGTTGTATCGATAGTACATGGAGGGGATCCCGCATCTTGGTGGGGATGCGTCGCGCCGCGCGTGATGGACGCTGGCAAAAGAAACTGGTAGGGGTGAACAACCTTCGTTCTCCGTCTCGGTCCGCCCTCTCATATGATTCAGACATAAACTTATGAATTAAAATTCGATTAATTTACAACTTTATTTGTAGATAATTGCGTAACTAAAATTCCGAGAAATGATACATCTATTATTCACGTGGAATTTCTTTGTTCTGACTCTATGATTATTTTCATAAACATAAAACTTGTTTTGGTGTAGAGTTGGCACATAATCTTCTAAAACTAAGATCAAAGTTATTTGCTTCATCCAAATCAAATATTTTAATGAATCAAAGTAATGAACTGAGAGTTTAGTAAAACTTACTGATTTACTATAAGTATATATTGTACATAAATATGAGAAACATTCCATTGACCTAGTTTATGTATCCTGTCACTTATGCTTTATTTATAATATTTTAAACATCAAAGTAATTAACTGAAGATGAAGAATAAATAGAAAAATAATAATTGATATGAATAGTTAACATACATGATAATACTGGTGTTAAAAACTTTATAAAATAACAAGTAATTAAGAAACAATCTTACAATGAATTTCCCACAATCTATATACAAGGTGATTACTCAACGTGCAAGCTTCCTACATTAACTGAACCACAACCACACCTCAACATGAATCTTGTGAAAGTACAGCAAAGAGAAAGTGAGGAGCATGTTAGAGCTACATGCGCAGACATACATACAATCAAATTGCCAGCATAGTATGTATAACTAACTTGCCAGTCGACTATCGAGCCAGCATGAAAAACTTTCTTTAACCCACTTTCTTATTAGTAGTTTGCAATCATCTTTCGCCTCTCGACGTTTAACGTTTTAGTGTAGTTGCGTGTGTGGCGGTCGAAAGTGGTATGTGCCCTACCATCTGGTTCCCTGTGGTCCCGTAGTGGCGCGCGGTGGTGGTACCGACGCGGGGAGTGGTGACCGAATGACTCAAGTGGGACAGTGTCTTTTTAACTTTTTTTCTCCCGCTTCGGCGCGAAGTGGAGGGTGTAATGTGCGATATGCAGAAGATGCCCACAAGAGAGAAGGATGGCCCCTGGTATGGGCAGTATTCATGATTTTTTAACATAGAGACATTTGTTCAAATTGATTTGATATTGTATTATACATTGTTATGATGACTTTTTATTTATTTATTTTATCAACCATAGTACAATATGAATATAATTATAATAAAAGTTTCTATAACCTAGTTACATATTATAAATATAAAATATGTTCAGAACTTCAATACTAAATGTTTTGGTACAATTACTTACACAAACATTGTGTAACTTAAGAGTTTTGGAAAGGAAAAGCAGTCAATCAAGTTTTCTGTACACAAAAATCAAGTAATCTACTATATAATAAACCACATATTTAATAATACTTGTTACAATGTTTTTTTACAACATTTATATTTAATACATGAATTTTAATCTCGGCTTTTCATTTTTAAAGTTAAATAGCAGTCCAGTTATTATCTTAAATGACACTTATAAATAATTTATAAACAATAAATATATAATATTTTACTAATTATTTATTTTTAAATGCTAAGATTAAAATTTTATAAACTTGTAATTTAATTTTCATTCACATTTCTTGCTTATGATAAGTTTTCTTATCTTACTTCCGCAGTGAAGAAGACTCGGAGATGAATTTCACAGCATTCTCAGCAGTGGGTGGTGCGGGCACACATTTTATTACAACTGGAGGCCAGCTTCCAGTGGCCAAACTACAACAGAACATAACCAACAATGGTGGCTCCATATCACAGGTATAGTTTACACAAATACTACCATTTTATAAAACTTTGTAAATAATCACAAGCAAGAGATAATTAAATTAATTTGAGGTATTCATTAAACTAGCTATTACTCGCGACTTTACCTACATGCAATAAAATAATATAAGAATATAGCCCGTGTTAGTCACTGATAACATAGCTTTTTAATGGTGAAAGAATTTTTGAAATCAGCCCAGCTGTTTTTAGTTACTTAAATACATACAAAAATACAAATCTTTTCTCTTTGTAATATTAGTACAGATGTAATAGTAAAAATTTAAACTGACAGAAATTGGTACCAATATGTTGAAGTCAGAGTGTGGTAGGCAGAGAAGGAATGATGGAATGGTCCTGTTGTAATTCAACTTTTTCACATATATATGAATAATCACAATTCTATGTAACTTAACTATAAGGAAGCATGATGTAATGATGACTAAGGAACTAATGATGTGCAGTCTTAACATTGTATATGGATATATTAGCTGTTGCTCGCGACTTCGCCCGCGTGTAATTTAAAAAAAAAACCGTCTATATTACAGATATGTTACCTTTCTAAGGGTAAAAGAATTTTTAAACTCAGCTCAGTAGTTTTTGAGTTATTTCAATACATACAAAGATAAAAATCTTTCCTCTTTATAATAATAGTATACATAAATGACTATAAGTATTGTTAATATTCTGCCAATGTTATTAATGTTGGTAAAAGGTGTCTCCATACTAAACTATTCCAATAACTTGTTTTAAATGTGGGTAGTATTAAAACTTTCACTTTTAATATCCTGATACATGGTTATTAATGCGAAACATTGAATGTATGGATGTTTGTTACTACTTACCTTCAGGATGATTTAATGGATCTTGCTAAAATTTAGCATAGATGTAGAACATAGTCTCAAAGAATACATAACCTAATCTTTATATTTTTTTATTATGTGGATGCAGTCGCTGGTGACATTATTATCCTATAAATTAAAATTAGTATGTATATTAGACATCATGAGGTATTTATTTATGTTTGTATTATTTGCAGGTTGTGGGTGTTGTCGGAGGTGTCAGTTTGCCAGACGGCATGCAGTATGTCCGCACACTGGACGGTGGAGCCACACTGCAGGCTCCGCAACTCATAACCGTACCTATAGCATTGCCTGGTGCTAAACCTGGTCAGTATACTAGTAAAGCTAGTAGGAGAATTAATCTTACTAATATTATAAATGTGAAAGTTTAGATGGATGGATGGATGGATGGATAGATTTTTGTTTGAGTTTGTAGCCTAAACGGCTAAACGGATTTCGATGAAATTTGGCATAGATGTAGAATATAATCTGGAAGAACACATAGGCTATTCACTTTTCCAATACCACGCGGACGGAGTCGCGGGCGAAAGCTAGTCTCCTATAATTAGTAATAGGTAGTCATGTTAGTTGTTTCTGGAACTCCAAGATGTAGATGTAAACAATATCAAAAATGTATTTGTATTCACCTTGTAATATGCAATCTATTAAATATAAATTTATGTTTTATTATGTTTGGAAATTATAGAAATATTGGATACTAGCTGTTGCACGAGTTTTCGTCCAATTGAATTTATAAAAAATAGAAAAAAACATACCCAATGTTACTCACTGATAATCTACCTTTTTAGTGGTAAAAGAATTAGCCCAGTAGTTTTTGAGTTATTTCAATATATACAAAAATACAAATCTTTCTTCTTTATAATATTTATATAGATAAAGTATGTATCTTAAAGTAATTCCATTTTACAATGAATTGTTATTCTCATATGTTAATAACCAAAAAATTGTTTTGTTTGTAGGTGATCCGCAGCCGACAGTACAAATTCAAGTCTTAAGTCCGAATATAACGATGCAAACCCAACAACAACCTAAATATCAGATGCAAATACCTATACAGGGATATCAACAAGGTAAGTTAGTATTCTACTGTCTATCTTTTTTTATAAGGTGGCAAACAAGCAAGCGGCCAACTGAATCCACAGAAATGGAAAGCGACCGCTGCCCATAAACATCCGTAATTGCAGATGCGTTGCCTATCCTTCGTTGACGGAGGAGGAGACGCACATAAAGAGGGCATTTCCCTTCCTATCCGTCTCCTCCACCGTCAAATCCGCTTTTCCTTGCCATGCTTTCCTTTTAAAACAAGGGTGGAAAGGGCTTTCCCTTTACTAAAATTAGGGCTTCGGCATCACACTCATCAGACGAAAACCGGAATTGCTTCCACTTCACGCCTGTTTTCTGTGTGCTCGTGGTATAACACTGGGCGAGCCGGCCCTGCACTGCAAACAAGAAAAAAACTGAGTAGTCTATGTCCTATTTCAGAGTGGAATCTATTTCTATTCCTAATTTTATTCAGATCTATTCATTTTAAGTAACAATTATCTATACATCCATCCAAAGATTCGTATTAATAGTGTTTGTAAGATATTTTTACTATGTTACTATAATAAATCTTACTAATATTAACGCGAAAGTCTAGATTTGATAGATTATTGTTAGAGTTCTTCGTCTAAATGGCTCGAATGAATCTCGAAGAAATCAGGCATAGATTTAAAACATTGTCTGGAAGAATATATAGGCTACTTTATTTTATTTTTCGCGGAGAGTCGCAGGCGAAAGTTAAATAAATAAAGAAGTAAATATTTTTTTGTTGTACAGGCGGTGCTGTCATTACCCTGGCGTATTCACCAGAGAACAATGAACCTAGCGGTATACAGTTAGTGGGGAATACTATGCCTGATGGTAAGAGATTTTGATATTCATATTTTGTAATATATTAACTTGAAATTTATTATATACTAGCTGTTCGTGCGGGATGTTGGGGTTTTTTATCCAATTTATCTACCCGCTAAGTTTAATAGCGTGAAAATATATAGGCTAAAGCGTTATGAAGTGAAGGACTTTTTTATTAAACAAAGATTAATTCAAAAATATGCTGTGATCTTACGCCACAAAGTAGTGTGTGTTTACGCTTTATTATAGTAGTATAGATGTGACAAGAATGGATAAAGTTAAGAATGTGTATATTAGAGGAAGTTAGAAAGTAGCGTCATTGGTGGAGAAATTGAGAAGCAAAAGGTTAGCGTGGCATGGACATGTTATGCGACGAGACAATGGGGACATAAACCAGAAAGTATTAAGAATGAATGTGGATGGCTACAAAGGTAGAGGAAGGCCGAAGAAAGTATGGATGGATTGCGATAAAGAGGATATGCTTAAGAAAGGAGTGGATTCAGATATGACTGATAGAGATGTATGGAAGAGCAGCACATACTGTGACGACCTTTCGTAAGGGATAAGGGCAAGTGGATGATGACTTGAAATGTATTAAAGTGTGCCAGAATGATAAATAGTCATACTAATATTATAAATGCGAAAGTTTAGATGGATGGATGTTTGTTAGAGTTTGTAGCCTAAACGGCTGAACGGATTTTGATGAAATTTAGTACAGATGTAGAGTATAGTCTGGAAGAACACATAGGCTATTCACTTACTTAATTCCACGTGGACGGAGTCGCGGGCGAAAGCTATTATATGTATATATATAACATGAATAAAATCAATATATAAAATATATATTTTGTACATGTTCAGGTACAATAAGGATTCGACCAGGTGAATCTCTTGTCTTTTTTATTTAATTTCTGCTTGAGTTATTCACCTGTCACTAATTATATGGTAAAAAATACTTGCAGCCTTCAAATAAACGCGGTAAAAAATTAAACTTGGAATAAATTGACTATAAGCAAAATTTGTACTAATATTTGCTTATACTCAGTTTCTTCTTAAGTTAAACTTTATAGCGTTTATTTGTAAAGCTGGTAGATTTATGTATATTATAATCAATCCATTAAAATCACTATTTAGTGTTATTAATCTCTAAATGTGAATAGCTAGTTATTTTTATATATAGTACATAACCTATAGTGAAACACTGCTTTAGAATTAGTGTGAAAACGTACCTCTTTTTATAGTTCAAAAGACAATATATTTTAGTAAAATAGATTCGATGTTTAAATAGTTTTAGTTACATAATTAGAAGATGCACGTCTATGTTGTAGTTAAATTAATATAAAGAGGAAAGATTTATATTTTTGTATGTAAAAATACACAAAAAGGATTATTCCCAACCGTCACCCCGCTCTGTCCCACGTGATAATAAAGTTTCATCCGTCCCACCTTTTGCTCTCATTATCACCAATAAGGTGACAGATCGAATCGTTATGATACAAAATAAGTTTCAACCGTCCCCTCATTGCAAAAGGTAGGACGGATGAAACTTTACTCTCATATATCCACACGTGGGGACAGAGCGAGGTGATGGTTGGGAATAATGCCTCAAATACGAATGCAACGATGTTAATAATTCTATCACCATTAAAAAGGTAATTTATCTGTGAGTAACATACATACACGTGGGCTAAGTCGCGAGCAACAGCTAGTGGAAGTATAAAATAAGTTTATTTATATATTGTTTTATTAATGCAGGTGTGCAAGTTATCTCTGCCTTGCCGCAGGACATTAATATGGACACAAAGGAGCACATTCAACAGAATATACAGCAGGTACAATAATATACTAATATTAAAAACTAGTTGTCACCCGCGACTCCGTCCGCGCGGAAATAAATAAACAATGCAAGCCTATGTGTTCTTCCAGATTATCATCTACATCTATGCCAAATTCCATCGAAATCCGTTCAGCTGTTTAGGCTACAAACTCTAACATCCATCCATCTAAACTTTCGCATTTATAATATTAGTATGGTGTGAAAGTGTGGATGGATGGATGTTTGTTAGAGTTTGTATCCTAAACTGCTGAACGGATTTTAATGAATTTAGGCATACATGTAGAGGATAGTCTGGAAGAACACATAGACTACGCGCTTTTGTTTTCAATTAACTCCACGCGGACGGACTCGCGGGCGAAAAGTATATGGATATATGTGCGCCGACAAGAGTAACAATGAGATTCTCAATTATTTTCTCCAATTGCAAACATGTAACCTCTAATCGACGGAGGAGGAGACGCACATTAAGAGTATATTTTCCCTTCCTATGCGTCTCCTCCAATAAATCCATCTTTCCTTGCAATCTATTCCTTATAAGTAAAGGGTGGAAAGAGAAAGAAGAAGAGGTTTTACGCATGTAGAAAGATTACACTGAGATTTTCGTGATTCTTTTTTTTTTTAAATAATTGCCATATGGTAACAGTTTTATAAAAGTAAAAATCTATCCAGTTTTAAGTCTTAAAAAAGTGTACTTAAAGCAGGAAATGTTTGTCTTAAAATCTATTTATGTTACTAAATATATTTTATTAGTTTGAATGTTGTGTAGGTATTCGTGACGCAGAACAACGAGCTAGTTGTGGGGTCCGAGCAGCGCGCGCACAACAACAACACGCGCGGAGACAACAACAACGACTTTGAGGTCCAGATCAAACAGGAATGTATCGACAAGGCCAATGACGATGTTAGTATAAGATGGAATATTGCTATCTCTTTCACCGCAATACAATTAAACAAAACATGTATTGCTATCTCTTTCGGCTCTATTGAAAGAAACAAAACATGTATTGCTATCTCTTTCACTAACAGAAGTGAAAGTTGTCAGTATGAAGTGGTCAGCTAAAAATTTGTGTGTTTTTAGTTTTGTAACCTATGTATTGCTAAAGCATTGGGCTAATTTTGATGGAATTGCGTCACTATATTCCTAAGATGTCATAGAGTGTTTGTGTTTAAAAAAAAACTAAAAGAAATGGTCTTTTACTTGTTCAATTATATTGTTTTAATTGTTAACATTTTTGACGTAACTCTAACTTTATACCGCATGCTGCATTCAGCTATTTCGAACACGTCTGACTCAAGATGGTAAAGTTTATCGCATATGTGTAAGTATGTACGTTTAAATACATTTTTTAATCATTTTTATGATGCTATCATGTAAATTCTAAAAATATAACAAATATATACTATGTCGGTCGAGTAACTATCAAATATCCACCTAAACTTTTCAATTTATGAGAAAAAGAAAATTTATAGCAGCGTACAGTCGCAGAAATGGACGGTGTTCTATTTACAGAAAAATTGCCTTGTTCTTTGCATGAAGATAAATATCGTCTCTTACAAACAACCAATTCAATAGCATTGAGTTGCGCAAACGACGGTGTAATAATAGAAAACAAAAATTTACCAACCATTTTGTATATATATAAAAAATGCTTCCTATTGGTTATTCCACGTCGTCTTAGTACGTAGAAAGCGGTCAAAGTAATGTAGTTTTAGTTGGAACACCGCCAATTTCCGTAATAGTACTTATTATGTCAATATATGTGCTGTAGACAGTATATGTTGATTTAAATATCGCTTATCACTAATATAATAATTGTGAAAGTTTAGATGGATGGATGTTTGTTAGAGTTGTAGCCTAAACAGCTGAACGTATTTCGATGAAACTTGGCATAGATGTAGAGGATAGTCTAGAAGAACACATAGGCTACTTACTGTTGTTTTTATTCCTCGTGGACGGAGTCGTGGGCGAAAGCTAGTAAGTAAATACTTTATTTTGACTAGCATGTGATGTTGTAGGAGAGCTCGCAAGGCGCGGAGGGCAACGAGGGCGTGTCGTGGCGCGTGCTGGACAATACGGAGCTCGTCAAGTACCTCAACTCATTACCGCCGCAGGTGAGTCACAGTGCATTCTATCTATACTAATACTAGCTTTCGCCCGCGACTCCGTCCGCGTGGATTAAAAAAAAAACAAAAGTGGGTAGTGTCTTCTTCCGGACTATCTCCTACATCTTTGCCAATTTTCATTGAGATCCGTTTAGCAGTTTAGGCTACAAACTCTAACAAACATCCATCTAATCTTTCACATTTATAATAGTAATAAGATTTTAAAGAGGAAAAAATTGTATTTTTGTATGTATTGAATAACCTAACCCTTAAATGTATGATGCATTTATACATCAGTCTTCTCTTCCATACCCAATAGGCTATTTAAAAAAAATCTTTATAAAAATAGAGAAAATATCTTTTTGATCTATGTTCAATGTCCTACCCGTTATCTTTCAGATGTAATAAGTAAAGAATCGTAAGTAAAAATACTTATATATATGACTTGGTCTAAATGTTATGTATTGTGCAGGAGGCGGAGTCGCTGCCGTCGTCGCTGCAGCAGTACCTGAAACTGAACATGAAGCGCGACTGGCCGGAGGACGGCAGCGCCACCTCCGAAGACAAGTCTGTACTGGACACAGGTATATAACATTGTTACAAATGTTTAAAAAGCATGGAATTGCAAATTTGAAATCTCTAGAAAGTTATCTACATTTAAACTTATCTATCTAAACTATTATAATAAAGCGTAAACACACACTTCTTTGTTGCCTAAGATGTCAGCAATTACAGCATATTTTTGAATAATTATTTTTTTAATAAATAGCCCTACACTTGCGTCACGCTTTAGGCATATTTTAACGCCATTAAACTTAGGGGGTAAATATTTTGGATAAAAACCCTAATGTGGGAAAGAGACCATAAATTGCTCCCAACATTAAGTAAGCAAGATTGTCATCATGTCATGTCATTTTGACATTTGTAATTGATAATTTGATAAATGTAAACAATAAAATAAAATTTTCATAATTTCATGCGGTTGAAGCCGCACGGGAACAGCTAGTACTATTATAATAAAGCGTAAACACACACTTCTTTGTTGCCTAAGATGTCCGCAATTACAGCATATTTTAGAATATTTTTTTTTTTATAAAAAGCCCTACACTTACGTCACGCTTTAGGCGTATATAATTTTTTGGGATAGTATAATTTAAACTTCCATAAGAGCTAATTTTTCTTCAGTAAAAGATTACAAAAAAGTGAGAAAGCATGATTGTAATGAATAAATGTTCAGATGGCGTGATACGAGTGAAGAAGAAGAAGAAGTACAAGAAGAAGCCGCCGAAGCCGGCGCGGCCGAAGCCGGGGCAGGTGGTGATCGCGAAGGCGGCGGACGGCACCGCGCTCTACTGCTGCCCCGAGTGCCAGATGGCCTTCCCCGCCAAGGAGCAGCTCGAGATGCACCTCGTCGGACACAAGATCGAGAGACGGTTTATATGCGGGATATGCGGCGCCGGGTACGAATACACGTACATTTAACAGACTACAAAAATGCCAGAAAAAAATGTTTTTTTGTGTGTAACGATTACTCGGAGATTTATGATCCTATTTACGTGATTATTTTTTATTTGATGCGAATTAACTGCCATTTGGACACGCCTTTTTCAGAATTATCTTTAGTTTCTCTAAAAGAAGCCTACCCAAAAGTCAGAAATTTTAGATAGTTAATTTAACTGTATATTCAGTTATTTTGTATTATTAAATGGATGAAATTATATTACTAATATAATGCGAAAGTTTTCATAGACAGACGTTTGTTACAAAGTGCGTCCAGAACAACTACCCGAATTTCACTGAAGGCATAGATGTAGAATATAGTCCATAAGAACACATATACAACTTATGCCGCGTACACGGACTCACGGCCGACAACTAGTATTATACGATTTGTAATGTTTTTATTCAATATTATAATATACTAGCCATTCTCCGCGACTCCGTCCGCGTGGAATTAAAAAAAACCAAGTAGCAAATGTGTTCTTGCGCACTATCCTCTACATGTATGCCAAATTTCATCGAAATCTGTTCAGCCGTTTAGGCTACAAACTTACAAACATCCATCTAAACTTTCACATTTATAATATAAGTATAATTGTATTATGCAGTCTGAAGCGCAAAGAGCACCTGGAGCGGCACAAGCTGGGCCACAACCCGGAGCGGCCGTACCAGTGCAAGGTGTGCAACAAGGGCTTCAAGCGGCGCGAGCACCTCAACCTGCACGCCGTCATACACTCCGGCGTCAAGACTGAGCACTGCGCCGAGTGCGGCAAAGGTACCCTCCCCCCGCAACTGCGCAAACTGCTAGAATGCACGGACTGCGCAAACTGCGCAACTGCGCAACTGCGTAATCTGCGCAACTGCGCAACTGCGCAAAATGCGCAACTGCGCCACTGCGCAAACTGCGTACTAGTCTTATATAATACAGTCGGGGAATTTGGCGGTGTTCCACATTACAAACAATAGTCATTTGAACTGGATTGGATTAATGAGGAACAATGAGCAATAGGAAGTTATTTTTTAAAAATTGGCTAATTCCTTTTCATTCTCGTTTCCACAACTTACGATAATTTATTAGTTGTTTGTAAGATGACTTTGTCTCATAGCAAAATAAGGTAACTGATTTTTAAGTAGAACACTGATGATTTCCGTGACTGTACCTATACCTAGTGAAGGTATACTGCCGCACTATACAGTTGTGTGTAATGTAATATAATTTAATCAATCGCATAATAAATGTTAATCACATTAAATATACACTAAGATTAAATCACACAAATAAAAATCAAATAAAAATATGGGACCCACCTGCAAGCATTACCTTTCGGATAAAAAAAGAATTAGCAAAATCGGTCCACTAGCGGCGGAGTTATGCCGTAACACACATAAAAAAACATACGGACGAATTGAGTACTTCCTTCTTTTGGGAAGTCGGTCAAAAATGATATCGTTAGTTTGTTGACTTACAATACACAATGCATTAATCGTGTAAAATTTTACAATAAAGTGTTGTATTCACAGGTTTTTATCGTAAAGACCACTTGCGCAAGCACGCGCGGTCGCACGAGAGCCGGCGCGCCCGCGACTGTCTTGCTGGCGAGAACAGGCAAGTGCTGCTGGCGCACGACCAGCTGGCGCAGCAGGTGCAGCACGACATCACCATACACGTCAGTACTGCACTACGATATTTATTACTTCTATACAAATAAATTATAACAAACATATATAAATAATTTTATGGACCTAAAGTTGACAAAACAAACTCATAGGATGAATCAATGTCATTCAATAGTGATAATTTTTCATTTGGATCGAATTCAGTCATATATACTAATGTATTAGAGGAATAATTTGTATTTTTGTATTTATTGAAAAAACCTAAAACTTCTAGGCCAATTTAAAAAAAAACACCATAAAAAAGCTACGTTATCAGTGAGTAATATAGGCTACATTTATTATTATTTTTTTAATTTCACGAGGACGAAGTCGCAAACAACAGCTGGTTATAGAATAATACTAGCTTACGCTCGTGACTTCGGCCGCGTGGAATTAAAAAAAAACAAAAGTAAGCAGCTTATGTGTTCTTCCAGGCTCTGTTTTACATTTATGCCAAATTTCATCGAGATCCATTCAATCGTTTAGGCTACAAACTTTAACAAACATCCATCCATCTAAACTTTCGCATTTATAATATTAATTAGTAGTATTGTATGCAGGTGCCGACGAGCTCCAACTCCCAGATGCCTATCCAGATCAGCATACCGCAGCACGTGGTGTCCGCGCTGCCGCAGAGCGCGCCCATCGACGCACACGGACACCTCGACGCACTGCTCGCAGACAACTCGTGACCCCTCTGTCTACCCCACTACGTCCAACCTCCACAGATAACTTCCACTTGTTACACATATCTCGCTATATAACTCAAAATTACAATTGTTCCTGTCCCACTACTGGCTGATAGGCTGTCAGATAAGGGAACAAGATCCGATATCTCTGTTGTTTTACACGTTGGATTGTTATCAGACGATTTGGTGGGACAGGCCCTGTTTTACATAACTTTATCTGAACTAAATGCAATGATATCTCATTGAGATATATTAGTAAAGACTTGAATTTTATACATGGCAATAATATAGTAATAGAAAATAAGATATATTGTATTTTCTAAATAACTTGGCCATTCAAGGTCATCGAATCGCGCGCAGTTAACATCCGACAAGATATATGTAAAAATGATTAAAAACAGCCAAAATATAGAGACAGTCGAATAATAGTGATCTTTGTCAGCAGTAGAATTAAATGTTTTTACATATGGCAATTACTGACAGTGAAAAAATAATTTTACCTTTGCAGTGCAGTATTTTTAAATATGGCAATATTTTAATTATCGGTTCACTGATCTGTGTAAATAGATAGGTTATTGCTTAAACAGGCATAAAAACCACTTATTATAGTCTGTCCATTTGTAGAGATCAGTGTGCCGATTAAATGTTATAAATAAAAAAAAAGATTGCGTTAAAACTGCTAATGGTGAATAAAAACTATGCATATAGCATAAACGTAATATTTAATATACAAGTGATTAATTTGGTGATAATTGAACTGGTATAGGTAATGTTAGTATCATCATAATCATGTATTTATACTGAAATTTAAACAAATTTAAAAATTTTGGATGACAATCACGTAAATGTAATAAAAATATATTTTTTTTCAAGCAAAAACATTCAAGAAGTAACTATTTGCATGAAAATATTTATTTATATGAATGATTTTCAACTTAAATTATAATTAATAATGACATATCAAAGAAATTAAATAATAAAATCTTGTTAAACACAAAAAAATCAATAAAGTAACGAATTTTTATACTAAATCCTGCCGCACACAGAAAAGCGGAACCGAAGCGAAGATATTTTTAAAATTATTCTGGTATTGATTTGGTAACCTACTAAATAACAAAAAAATAGCTCCAGCAGAAGCGAAACTAACGCGAAGCTGTGGATTTTTAAAGACATTTTAATATTTCTCTTGCCATTCGCTTCGGTTCCGTTTCGCTTTCGCGTTTTGTGTCCTAGAGGCCTAAGGCCTTAGAAATATAGATATAGTCTAGACGTGAACATTTGATTGTTTTATAAAATTGTAATATGTGTAAATAAAATAAAATACTTAGTTTAAATTATGTTTTGTAATACTAAAAAACATTTTTCATATAATTGTTTATAGTTTTTATATTTCATTGCTCTAATATTGAATTATTTGTGCCTTTAAAAATACAATAATTATTCCGGTATGTATCCACAGACGGAATTAATATCACAGATAAAAAAACATTATTGAAAATTGGGATGTTCGATTTTTTTAGGTTATGTTACGTCATATAAACTGTGACGTCATTAAAGTTTATTTAAAGCCTATTATGAAAAGATACAAACAGACGCGGTAAATTTTCGGTAAATTTGTATTGCAAGAGATTTATTTACTTTTATAATAAAATTTTCATTCAAAAAAATATTAAAAACCAGAGAAAATAAGTTGAAATTTTTTTCAATGCTTCAACTGCAGTTCTAAATGAAAACCGTAATTTTGCATGCAAATGTAAATTAGTTGAAATTGTGAGAAAATGTGTAATGATTTTTTAAAATAATGGTTGTAATAAAATTAATTTTAACCTTTATAATATGCACCTTGGACTAAACTACCGCACAACGGTTGTGCGATTATCGATTGTTTCGCAGGTAATTCAACTGTTTAGTTGTACAACTAAACATCGAGTAGTGCACCTCCATATAGGAATTAAGACAGACTAAACAATTATGTGATAGTTTAGTCAAAGTTGTGCGCGCGCTCTCAAAGCGTTTTTTAAAATTTGGTCTTGATTTGCAATATTTTATAACATAAATATCATTGTTGCTGTGATATATGTACTATTCTCTTATATTTGTAATATTAGAGTTTTTCGAAATTTTCGTGATTTTTCAAGTTAATTTCCTACATAATGTAGTTAATTTAACCATACTAACTGCTTCACTCATATGTTTAAATACTTAGCACTCAGTTTAAGTTGATCTTACAATCATGACAACCTTACAAATAAACTCGGTATAATATTAAACTAAGGAATAAACTTAGTATAAACAAAATTTGTACTTATATTTACTTATATTCAGTTTATTCCTAAGTTTTTTGTAAGACTGTAAATGATTGATTTAAAGTAATCAACGATTCTTGATTGTATAAAGCTGGCAATACACGGACTAAGCAGTTGACAGTTTAAGCTTGCCATACAAGAACCGTAGTTCCAAGTTCACTGAATTCTGCTTAAAACACTTAAAGGATGGTTGGTGAAATTACAATAAATTAAGGCCGTTGCTACACGATGTATTTGAATTATTTTCCTTAAATAATCAATTTTTTGTGTATAGTTAACCCTTAAATGCCTGATACCGTTCAAATACCCTTCAAATTTGATACCGGGGTTATCGCATTAGGCATCTACAATCGATTTTATTTGAATACTAACTGTTCCCGTCCGACTTCATCCGTATAAAATTGTGAAAAATAATTTATTGTTTACATGTGTCAAATTATCAATAGCAAATGTCAAAATGACATGACATGGTGACAAAGCATAGCAAACTTGCTTCCTTGATGTTGGCAGCAACTTATGGTCTCTTTCAAACATTAGGGTTTTTATCCAAAATATTTACTCCCTAAGTTTAATGGCGTGAAATTATACAGCCTAAAGCGTGACATAAGTGTAGGGCTTTTTATTAAAAAAAGAGTTATTCAAAAATATGGTGTAATTGCTGACATCTTAGGCAACAAAGAAATGAGTGTTTACGCTTTATTATAATAGTGTAGATATAGATTAGGCTGTTTACATGTTACCTTTGACTGATAATCTTCAAGCTTGAAAACAAAAAGGGGCATATCACGAAAATATATGAAAACGTAGTTTTGATTTTTTTACTATTTTTCTCCTTTATTAAAAAACAATAAAGGGTACACTTATTTTGTAATTTAAAAAAATCAGGCTTTTAAGGGTTAAGTTGTTGACGTGTAATTTTGTATATAAACGGAAATACAGATTTTGAAATTATAGAAATATGGGGTAGTTGATTTGTCGCTATGAAAAAAAAACCTTTTCTTAAAACCATGCATAAATATAGCTTTAGTATTTTTTTAATACATTGTAATCCGATTTTACCACAAGATATTAACATTACCAGCTTTAATGTAGATATAAAAATTGATTTCGAATTATATATTTTTGTAATTAGGATAAGTTTTTAGGATATCGGATAGTGTTTGTATTCTAACAGCCTTACAAAGATCGCGGTAGAAAGTTAAACTTATGAATAAACTGATTATAAGTTAAATTTGTACTAATATTTGTTTTTTTTTTATATATTAGCAGATTTTTGTTAATTTACTAATATTTCCTTTAGCCAATCCAACTAAGATCTCGGCTTGTGCTATGATATGGTTCACAATAGTCGAATGGGATTCGAACCCTCGACCGCAAGATCAATAATCCGTACCTCAAAACATTAAGCTATTGGAGCTTATGCCCAGTTTATTCCTAAGTTTAACGTAATACTGCGTTTATTTCTAAGGCTGTATTTTATAGAATTGAATCTGAACGCTGAACGTAGCGTTTCTACTGTCGGAAAACATGTATGAAAACTTTCGATCTAATTCTTTTTGACAATAAAGTTTTTTTTAAAAGTAGTGTAACGACAGTGCTTAGAAATTAGAGGTAGCGTAATTACTGTATTTTTTTTATGTAAAAGGCTATTTTACTTACTAATCTTTTTTCTATATTGTTTGGAAGGAAGATTATGTTGAGGTATATGAGGTGCTTTTGGCGTTAAATTTGTGAAAACCCAAATTATGCTTTAGTTTGTACATTTTAGAATCTTTTAAAGTAAAATTTCATCACTTTTTTTTTAAATTTTTTGTATTTTTTAAGAATTCTAAATTTTAAGTTTGTGTAATTGAGTAGGTTTAAAATATTTTGTATGTAATTTGTGCTTTAGTTAAGTATTTTTTTGTACTTGGCACACGTTTACCTTTTTTACTATTGTAAAGAAATTAGAAGTTGCAAGTATTATAAAATTAAGTACTAATAGGTGATATAATTTTTATAATGTAAGTGTAATTTTTGTATGAAAACTATTTATTAATGAGATTAAAAGCCACTGATTTTTACCGATGATTTTTATTTAGTTTCCCCCCCTTTTTTACAAAAGAGAGGTTCAGAAATAATAGAAAATTAAGATGAGTTTATAAAAAAAATATTATTATTATTATTATTATTATAAAGTGAGTAGCCTATGTGTTCTTCCAGAGTATCCTCTACGTCTATGCCAAATTTCATCGAAATCCGTTCAGCAGTTTAGGCTACAAACTCTAACAGATATCCATCTATCTATACTTTCGCATTTATAACATTAGTAAGATGTACATTTAGGAGTAATTATGGAAGGAAAAAGGTTAATTTTAGACGTTGTAATTGGATATTCGATAGAAATGTAACTATCTAGTTTTGCAGAAGTCGAATCAAATGAGTACTCATGGAGAAGGTTTGCAATGTTGCACTGTTTTAACGTACAGTTAGGGAAAGTAGGGGTGTTCCACCTCAAAGGCTACAATCTTTTGAAACGAGAGGTGGAACAAATATCAATATAACGCAGTTTTAATGTGTCCGTACCAAAAAAAAAGATTAATGATACACGACTAGTGTTCTTTGGTTATTATGATTGTTTGCATTCACTATCTAACTAGTTATTTGTATGAAAAGGCGGAGTTTGTTTCGTTGTGCTGAACAAGGCTATTTTACCTAAAGTGGAACACCGCGGATTTCCGCGACTGTACATGAAGGTGATCAAATCAATAACTCGTTGATACATTCATACATTGCTGTATATTTGTTATAGCGGACAGACGTGCACTACCTTCCCCTCCTTGTTACACCCCTGTTAGGGTGTTCTCTAAACCACTCTAAGGTGAGGAATTTCAGTGACCATGATACTGATTAGAAGATCGATAACTATTATATTCCTAGTAGGTAGTGTTTTGGTTTGCTAATATTTTTATTGTCACAACACTTTAGTTATTTACAAATTATAAATTGGGTTCTGTTAATCGGAAAATGGTTTAAATTCAAATGGTGATATTCTATATTCTTACAAATACAATGTGCTTTAACATAAAGCATATTTTTTTATGAGATTAAGCAATATATGTTATGTGTTGTAAA